AGAAGTATTGTAGGGTATCAGGTAACATCTTCCCTGTCCACATAATGCTTTAAGATGAGCTAGTAAATTAGAAACACACTACAAGATAGCTATAAATAAACTGCAATGGGTGTGTAGGAAAGTAAAAGATCACTTCTACTTGTGGATAACAAGGAAAGTTGCAAAGATAAGCTAGTTGTAATGGAAAGAATTTCAATGTGTAATAGCATGAGAGTGCATTCTGCAGAGAGGTTCTAAGTATGAGCTCTTAGCAAGGAGCATAACAATGAATTATAGGTTCCTGAGCTCCCATTTTGTTCAAACTACAAACTCTTCTTCATTTAAGATTTACAACACCTTCATCACCTACCCCCTGAATTTTTTCTTTCTCTATGCTTGAGTTATTTATGGAAACCAAAAATTACATATTAATTAACTGGGAAAACCTGGATTTGAATCCAGGTCTTCAAACCCCACAGCCTGTGATTTCATCCACTAAATTATATTCAGTGTTAATTGGCTTCTTTGGGGTTAGCGTTTCAGGTATGGATGTGGGTGAAAGGGGATAAGACTGAAAACACTGCAGAGTTAAAATGGTGGTGAAAATTGGCTTTATCAATTCTTTCTATCTTGATGTACCAAAACCTTTTTATAGTTAAATTACAGTGAAGTTCTTTGGATGGAATATTTAGGTGAACATTGTGAGTATGGTTGGAAAAGATTGATTATAGTTACCTTCACAAAGCTTCTTTATTGCTCTTCTATATATGTATATTATGAACTGCATTTTAAAAATGATTTAGCTGAATTGTTTAAACAGAACTCTTAAAATATTATTCAGTTTATTGAAAAAGATACCTGCACCCCCACGTTTATTGCTGCTTTATTTACCATTGGAAAAACATGGAAGCAGCCCAAATGCCCAAAAGTAGATGACTGGATTAAAAAGATGTGGTACATATATACAATGGAATATTACTCAGCAACCAAAAAAGAGAAACACATGTCATTTGCAGCAACTTGGATGGAGCTGGAAAAGATCATGCTTAGTGAGATAAGCCAGAAAGAGAAAGAAAAATACCGGATGGTTTCACTCATAGCAGGAGTATAATGGACCAGGCGAGAAAATAACAAGAATAATGAACAGCCATATACCAGAGACATTTTGTGGGGGTGGAGTGGGCAATGGGATCAAAAATGGGGTTGGGGGTAGGGGAAGGAAGTGCACGGGATTATGGTGATGGCACACAGGGATTACAATTGAGATGGAAAAAAAATGTACAAAATGATGTAAAAATAAACTGTTATATATAAAAAATATTATTCAGTTTAAATGTATCCTAATGTTTTCTTACCTATAATATACACAATGGAATATCACTCAGCAATCAAAAAGATAAACTCATGCCTTTTGCGGCCACATGGATGGGGTTGGAAGGAATTACGCTTAGGGAAATAAACCAGAAAGAAAAAGAAAAATACCAGATGGCTTCATTCAAAGCAGGAGTGTATGGTATCAGGATAAACAAAACATTTGTAATAAAGTAAAAACAAAAATCAACAAATAACTATAAACTAGAGATATTCTAGGAGGATGGAGAAGGGAATGCATTTAAAACTGGGTTGGAAAGAGCCCACGGCACCATGGTGATGATTCATGGGTTAATTGGTATGGAAAATCCACGGGTATTACAACCGAGATGAAAAAATGTACAAAATGGAGAAAGATGTAAAAAAAAGATATGTGTATACACACACACACACACACACTTATATATAATAAAAATAATTTAAAAAGAATACTTGACTGTCAAATCAATATAGTCAACATAATAAAAAATAAAACATGTATATATCTAATAATTAAGAGATATTATGAACTAATTAAAGAAAATGTAGAAAAGAACCATGTACTTTTGAAACTGGAAGAGGATTTGAAGAAAGGAAATGTTCCAAATGAGTAGCGATATTTATAAATGGAGTATAGTGTGATTTTGATGGACAGCTGAGAATTGCATGAATAAATTTTAATAGCATGAAAACACTACAATAAGTAATTTTTATCTTTCCACTTGTGTTTGAAGGACACTCTTTCTAAAAACTTGGCTACTAGCAACATCACAATTACAAATTAGTAGTATTTTCTCATCTTTGTTGTGGGTATAAAAATGTTGATTCATAACTTGAGTTATGGACTAAAAACAGCCAAGGTAAATATTTTCATTTTTCCTGTTGCTTATCTAGCAACTAGCACATGGAAAAGAATAAAAAGGAAAGCAGAATTATTCACTCAAATGGGCCATAGAGATCATTGTGGTAACACTTCTAGTTTAGTTTGCCAGTGGATGTGATGGTTAAATTTATGTGTCAATTTGTCTAAGCTATGATGTCCAGGAATTTGACCAAACATTAGTTTTAGATATTTCTGTGAAGATTTTTATGGGTGTTTTTAGCATATACAAGTATTTGACTTTGGTAAGCCAAAGTACCTTTTGTAAGTAGGTGGGACTCATCTAATCAGATGAAAACCTTGACTGCAGAGACAGAGTTCCGAAAGAATTTTGCTTCCAGACTGCAACAGAAATCAGACTGTGGTTTCCATTCTGTTGGCCTGCTTTTCAGATTCACCAGTTCTCATAGTCACATGAACTAATTACTTAAAATCTCAGTCTCTCTCAGTCTTTCCTTCCCTCATTGCTTATCTATATGGCTCAATAGCTATGTCCAGCTCTGGAAAACCCTGACTAATACAGTGGACAAAGTAAAGTCTGATGAAATTACATGACTTTTCTAATGCCTTTTATTACAGAGCTGATAATAGAATGATGGAGAAACAGAGAGATAAAATTGCCTAAAATCTATATTATAAGGCCAGGAAGGAAATCCAGAAATATAACATTTAGCCATAACTTTTCTAGTGGATTAAATTTAGAGAAATCTAAACTTTTATGCAAAGTCATATACATTAAAAATTCTGAAATTCAAAGCACATGGAACATGGAAAGAATTGTTTATCTACTTCACCAAAAGTTAACATGTGTGATTATTTATAGAGGCAAATTTTCTTCAGAATTGAACGTGGTTTTATTCAAAAATTAAAAATAAAACACTTTGGAATCTTTCAGAGACACACAAATTCAACTCACTTAACAGGATGTTTTAAAAATACATTTTATTTAAAAACTCCCCAAATTCAATAATCATTTCACCCTCTTGAACATTAATAAGCTTGAAATCTAGAAAATGCTCATGTTGCTAAATTTTATTTATGTTTCTATGCTTAATAAACACAAATCTCACATTTTATGTGATGCTTTGATAGCAAAGTCCATTCATACACACTCATTCCTGAAAGCTTTGCCGTAAATCTTGGTTATTATCATTATTTTGCAATGGAGACAAGTAGGGTTGACAGAGACTCAGAGACTTGCCCAAACTGCTAAGACAAAGAGCAGCTGATTCCATATCTAAGGTCTACTTGCTGCAGCATGATGCCCAAAGAACAACCTTAACTCCAGGAAGGCTGGAGTCTTGCGACCAAGAATCCTCACTTAATCACTTTAATCAAATTTCCACTTTAGTCAAAGACTATGTGGATTGTTCTATGCTAGCAAAAAAAAAAAAAAATTACGATTCCATATATCTCTTCCTCATTCCATATATCTCTTCCTCATTCTTGAAGATAACAATATTTTGTCCACTTGAAACTGAGTTGATTCTATGAGAGGATGGAAAATTTGATCACAAGGAAAAGGAGCTACATTTTCTCTCCCCAACTTTTCCACAATGCTCCTCATTTGGAATGGGCATTCTTTAAGCTCTGCATCCGTGTATGAGAATAAGGAGTTATCAGGTTTTTTCTTTTTTATGCTATGTGGTTTATGGAAATGAAATTATTATGATCATGTTTTATTGTTTTCTTTCCTATATTGGTTTTCATTTCCCCAACCTAATAGCCTTTACTTTAGGAAAAGGATTTACATACTGTTGGATCAAGAAATAGAAATACCATTATTGCAGCTCATTTTTTGGGTTGCAACCTTCTAGCACATTTTCATTTTATTACATATACATTTCCAGTTAGACCATCTCTAGACTCATAGCATTTGTAAGACTTCATTTCTCTTCTCTTTCCCATTTGAGAGCAGGTGGACCAAGACAGTTCTTTGGAAGCTCAATGGATGATTTCTCTTGAGAAGGCACATCTCTTTCGTCTGCCAAGGAATGAAAATTCAGACAATCACATAGATCATTTTGAATGGTGCCAAATAAATTCCACCAAATGCTACTAGCAATAATTAGAGTGTCACTGTGAAATGTGGTGATTTTTTCCTCCCTAGCATTAGGCATCATTCTTGTCCTGAGTGCCACAAAAAATGACCTAGACCCATAGGCAGCTTTCGCCATAGAAATAACATAGATTTCTTACCACCAGTGGAAGTGAAAGAGATAAAGTACTTCTTTACCTTAAAATGCCTGCAACAGGATGCCAGGGATTAAGATTAAGTGTAAACCATCTAGATGACACTGCCTTTTGCTGGCAATCCACTTATCAACTCCAAAATTTAGGCAAAATGGTAAATAAAGACCACCATTTTGTTATAAGCAGGAGGGTTCCTGTTGAGCAGACCTAAACGGTTACAGCTTGCAAAGAGGAAAGCTCTTTGGTAAGAATGGAAAATCTGGAAGGCCAGGTTGAGTGTTCTCTCACTGGAAGGTGATAACTCCCAAAGTCTACTAAGCTTTTAGGTTCAACTGCAAGACTCTTTTATGTAAACAGGACCAGGAAGTCACATCAAAGACAGAGAAAGACCCTGGGCAAAGCAGACGGATGGATCAAGTTTTTTTTTTTTTTTTTTAAAGGAAGCCCAGGAAAGCTGCAGAATGGCGAGAAAAGGCAAAGACGCATAGGAAGGATGAGAGGGGAGGGGCAAGTGGGGAGGGAGGGGAGAGGAGGAGAAGGCTGAGCGCGGACGTCAGGAACAAAAGCTCCAGCGGAGTCTGGCGGAGGCACTAAGGGAGCATGGGGTGTTTTGAATAATTATTAAAATTAGCATGTGTCTGCGCCATCCTGTGGGTGTGGCGCAGAGCGGAGTGTAAACTCTAGCGGGGCTGGAGCAAACATTGGATTAGCGGCAGCAGCCAGCCAGCCTGCTCTAGGAGTGCCGGGACCAGCGCGCGCCTCGGCGACCGGCACGATGGCCTCGTCTCAGGGGAAGAACGAGCTAAAATTCGCCGATTGGATGGCAACTCTGCCAGAGAGCATCCACAGCATCCCCCTCACCAATTTAGCCATCCCAGGTAGGCGCGCAAAGGCTGCCGACGGGGCGCTCGGCGCCTGCTCCACCTACCCCGCCCTGCTTAATTTGCCACTGAGTGGTAACTTGCCACTGTGCCCGCGGGAGGGAAACTCATCTCCAGGGGTGGGTCGCAGGTCAGGGGGGCGCGCCCCGAGCCTCCGGCCTCCGGGCGTTTTCCAAACCGCTGGGGACCATGGCGCGGGAGTCAAGGTGACTGCCTTCCCGCTGGTCTGTGGAAGCAGGCTGTGCTGAGGGAACTGGGGCAGAGCGAAGGCTCGGCTCTCCGTCAGTGCCTCCTGGCCCCCTCCCACGATTTCCCCTGCAGACTTGGGGCGTGGGGGCGATAGCTGGGTCTGTGGGGTGGGGGGCAGCGCGCGGCGAGCACCAGCTGTGCCCTCAGGGTTGGGCTCGCGGACTTCCGACTCAATCTCTGTCACAGAACCGAGCGGCACAGAATCGAGTGGATTTACTAGCTCTTGAATTGAATCTACCCGAGTCATTAATATTCGCCCCCAGTCTCCTTAGACGAGACAAAGCACTTCCCCAAGAGTGATGAAAGTTGAGGCGCCGGCGGCGGCGTGATCACTGCCCTTGACTAGGAGCGGAGGAGGCGAGGGGCGGGGGGCGCCTTTCCTGGTGCCTGGACTCCGCGGGCCTGGTCTGGGGCGCCGGCTCTGGAGTCGGGTCAAGTGCTGCGAGCGCCGAGAGCGCCTTGGTCAGGAGAGCAAGCCGGTCCGACAGAGTGTTTGTGGCTCGGGACTGATTTCCCTGGCCGGGAAACCTGCCTGGGCTGAGGCGCAGGGGTGGGATTAACCCGCCGAGCACCGCTGGAGAAAGGTGACTGCGCTGTGTCCAGACTGCATAGGAGGCTGCTAGGAGGGGTAAAGCGAGGTAGAGCCTGGAGGGATCCAGAGGCTTCGGCTCAGTGCGCGCGACTTGAACCAGAGCAATGGGCAGGTCTTTGGAGCGCGAGCGCGCTGCAGTCCGAAGCTCAGGTGTGCGGGAGGGAGACTCATTTCAGGACAGTTTCCCCGGGTCACGGCTGGGGGACGCGACCATACTACCACACCAAGGTGACTTTTCACTTGGGCTGGGAGAGCAGGTCCGGCTCGAGGGCGGATTACCGACTGGTATTCTGACCCCCGTTGAGAGCTGACGTGGATTTTCAGGTTCTACTTGGTGGTCCACCTTCTCTTGATCTGCCCTGTCCTGCGCCCCCTCGCAGCCATTGGGGAAAAACATAATACTGAAGTAATGGGCCCGGGACAGGAGGAGAGGAAAAGAAGGGTTTCTTGAAAATCCCAAGAGCTGTAACCTGCAACGGTAGAGGTGATCCGTAATTCAAGTCAGGGACTATTAGGCAAGTGAAAGGCGACCATGACAATCACAGTCTACCATGAGCGCCTACCTCAGGAAGGAAAGGTTTGTCTCCTTTTACCCTTCTTCAGGAGATAGCTTCCCAAGAGCCCAGGTATCTCCAAGGAAAAGAACAGCCCAGCTTCTCCAGTCTGCAGACAATCTGGGTGAGCACGGGGATTGCTCTTTTTTGGAAACAGTAGAAAGTACACAACTTTGCTGGCAAAATTCCACCATCACAATTACAGGCATTCCTAGCCTCTTTTCTTCCCTCCTTTTCTTTTTTTAATTGTTAGAAAGTAATTTCCACATGTTCTCACCCGACTCTCACCTGAGCATTTTTCCAGGCATACAAGGAAAAAAGATTAAGGTCTCTAATAAGCCACTTACCAGAGATAAAGTTCACATTGGTAGTCCTGAGAGACAGCATGATACCATGTCTGAATGCGTCTTATTTTTCTGAAATTCACCACTTTTTCAAAGACTTGGTGTGTACAGGAGATCACATAATCTTTTCCCAAATCATGTGAAGACGGCAGTGCTGGTGCTGCTACCTCTATTACATAGATACCAACATTGAAGCTCTGTGAAGGTAATCCTGTGATGAATTGTCAACCCAGTGATTCAATAGAGTCTTAGGAAGATCTAGGAATTTTGGAAGGAGATAATTTGGGGTTGTATCTAGATGATTCAGCAGCAACAAGTGGCAAAAAAAAAAAAAGTTCTTTGCAGGAACCAGACAACTTTCCTCATTTCCCAATGGGATAAAGTAAAAAACAACTGAGTTCAGAAATTTGCTATTTTGGTGGCATGAAATAAGTGAGAAATTTCCATTGCATCCTCAGCCCCTTTACTATCATACTTGCAGGATTCCTTGCAGGCCTCCCATTGTTTTCATGAACATTTGTCAGGGAAATATTTTTTTTAAGTTTTATTTTTATTTATGCATTCAAGAGCTGGGGTGTAGGCCAGAGGTGGGAGTGAGGGTGGTGTGGGTTGTGAGAGGCTTCATTAGAGACAGAGTGAGGGGCAGAATAGGCAGAGCCACTGAAGTACCTTGCTGAGGGGAGCAGTGAGCGAGACAGGAGAGGTCTGCTGTGCCATATTGGTCAGCTCCCTGGCCAGGGATCAAGCTCAGGCCACTCATGCCCCATTGGCTGATGATATCTTGATAGTTCCGACACTTAACCCCTTTGCCACCAGGGAGGCCCCACAAAAAAATTTTTATTTCCCCCATAATTCTGTGAAGTAAGTTTGAGGTATATAAATAGTGTTAGGGAACACACACACACACACACACACACACACACACAAATTTAAAATGAGTTTGGTACCTTTCTGGATTACTCAACTGTGAGAATTACTGGAGGGAGAAAAAAAGACATTCAAACTTCGATAGAGAAGTCTAATTGGAGACTATTAAACACTAATGGAATAATTGCCTTAAAATCATGCTAATAGCTTCCTGGCTGCTACATGTTTACTTGGCCAGTTGCTACAGCTTGAATTAAGTAATTATCTCCACCATTTAAAACCACTCCTGATGCACCACACAAGTGTTTCTGTGGAAGGAAACTGCTGCTCTGTCATCCTCAAAGCTTCAGGTTTTCTTAGGTGAAGCAACTGGAGAGTGAAGATTGCCTGATTAGGAGGCTTCCCCTCAGGGCAGCTGACCCAGATTACTCAGGGCTGATGCACAGAACAACTTGCGGGTGTGATATTCCCTGCTGTGTGTTCAGTTCTGGCATGGCAACATTTTTCACTTGTAGGCTTCTTGAGTGCTTTCAGACCCAAATCTCTGAGTGATTGTTTTGTGTTTGTCACTTCCAAGTATTTGGTATTGACTAAAGACTAAGGAATAAAACTAGTAATTGGGATTAGTAGTTTTACTTTCAATTTAGTTGTCAAGGAATGATACTGTCAGATACAGGGACACAGAGGCACTTATCATTTCTGTCTCTGATGACAGCAAGACTGATTTTTATTCATATGTGTTTGTTTAATAACACCCCAGCATTTGGGATTATAAATGATCCGACCTCTCACAAATAAGTGAGAAAACATTTACAGGGATAGAAATAGGAGAATGAAGTATAACATGCTGGTGAAAGTGAGGCTGGTGAATTTCTAAATCTTGAAGCAGAGTTCTAATTTCATAATCCATGCTATCATCAATAGATTCCTTGTGGGAGCAAGCAAGTTATTGCTTGATCTAGGTAGGAGATTGGTGATTTGGGTCTATGGCAGGTTGTCTGTCTTTCTATATCACATCTAAAATATCAGGGAAGGCTTTTTATTGTATGTGCAGGGTCTGCTGTGCTCTTGCTGATGTGTGATGGAAGTCTTCCTCGTGTGGCAAACTGATCATGTGATAATGACAGGTTGGTCAAAATGTTTGGAACTGTACCCTCATTGAGAGTGTATTGCCTTAAATGGAAATTGCTGGTGATGCTTTAGAAATGCTTTAGAAATCAGTTCATTTCTTCTAGAAAATTCCAACATCAATAAAAAGAAATTTAGAAATTTTACTTAAGAAACTTAATATTTGTGTTCTTGTGTCTGCTTTTATTAGTTTTTAATTTTTTTGCTCTCACAGTGATCTTTTCTTTATTATTGCAGTTGTTCCTGGAACCAACTGTCTTCTTCCTTTTCCTTGTCATTTACTATTGCTGTTTGGATTGGGATGAGACAACAGGATAAATCTGGGACTGGATCTGATTATATGAACTTCTTTTAAAAGGCAGAATTTATTTTTATATCTTTTTATTTTCAGGATAGTAATATACAAGTTCAGATTTCTAAGCAAATCAAAGACCAATGCAGTTTTTTAGTTACCTGTCCAATTTTCAGTTTTGTTTTTGATTTTGCTAAAAAGGAAAAATTGAAGCTTAACTGGAACAGAATTTATCCTACTGTGACTTTTTCTTGATGAATTGAACTGAATGATCAAGTGACTCTAATGCCATTACACAGTTTAGAAAGTGTTTTCTTATACACACATGCTTTTTATATATTCTCTCAATAAAATTCTGAGGCTTTCCTAGTCATAGATGGCTCAGGGATGAGCAGTGGCAGCGTACATGGGAGGCTGGTTGAATTGCAACTTTTTAGACCCCAGCCTTAGACCTCTTAAGTTAAATTTCATTTTAACAAAATTCTGAAGTGACATATATTACAGTTGAAACACTGCCTTAGAGGACCCTTCATGGAAGTCTCAGAGCCACCTTTAAATACAGCTCTTTGAACAAACTCTTCCCATTGGACTGTGTAGTGTGGTACTTTCATGAGTGTTCAAATTTACAACCAGCTTTAGAACCATTGCCCCATATCTGAGTCAAAGTTAATGACCCAGATTGGGAACATTTCTGATATAGTTTGTCATGAACAGTACATGTTATTTAATTGCTACTTCAGTGTTCAAATTAAATCACTGTGATAAATGTAAAACATTTCCCCTATTTCCTTAAAGTTCTCCTGTTCAGTGAGATCAGTCATCGATAGCACTTAAAATCTGACCATCTTGTGATGTTAGTGGTCATTAATGACAATTTCCAAAGCATCTCTGACTTGGTTCTTTGTCCATTTGGTTTCATTCTTTGTTACATCAGAGGCCCAGCACTTTAATTATAATTATACATTGCAGAG